CCTTCCGAGTGTTTGCGGCTTAGCATGAACAGGCACGCGGTTCCTCAGTGTCCCTGCCAGTACATCGGTTTTTCAGGTTGTCCCAATTCAGCCTGTTTTGGAGTCAGACATAGCGAGTGAGCTGCCAGAGCGTGGAGAGTGGTGAAGCAACGCATGTGCAGGAGCTCCGGGAAACCACGGCAAGCCGGGATCTCGGAGCTAAATGTCAGGTCCATGCAATGCCTCCGAGACACCGAACCTTCATGGCCTTTCATTTCTCACCTGTGCCTGTGAACTAAGATCAGAAGGAGCAGCTGACGCTTGGACAGCACTCGGGGTTTCTGTGACGACACAGGCTGGCTGGAACCCAAACGCAAGCTAAGTGCCCAAGAACTGGCTTGATGACAATGAAAGCCCACACTCTAGATGTGCACCCCGCGCGTCCGCCAGTTCTTCAACCCGGGACGGCTCAGACTGTAGAAGTCTGACAGGGTAGAGGAAATCTTGACTGGAGGCACCCGTCCTGCATCGGCTTTGGTCGATAGCGTTCTTGTCTCCGTGAAGCATTCAAGTTTGTCTTCACCGCAACTATCCGACATAGACGGCTCGTGTCCCTTTTTCCGAGGTTGTGTTTGCACGCTTACTGTTGCACTATCGTCTGCCGCATTTGTAGCTGAAACAGCTGCAGGCACTGCGATGAACAAATTGACACTCAAGAGTGCCGGCAACAGCTTTGCGAAACCTGATTGTGCGCTGTCGTTATCAATTGCTTTGATGTGTTGTGTGTCGGTTTTCTTGTCGAGTGGCACAACGGGCCACCAGAAATGTTCAAGTCATCCAAGCAGGCAGGATCTCTACCCGATCTGCCTCTGTTGACCTTTCTGCACTCGAGCAGCCACGACACATGTCACGGGGCTGGGCCTTAGCTTTTGCTGTGGGTGTTCCTTCTGCTCCCTAGTTTCGTGCCGGTATTATGCTACGGTCTCAGGCGTTGTGTGACTGCTTATCCTTGTTACGCTCCTGGGCTGCCTTCCCAACTCATTGGATTCTCCTGAACGGCTTGAATTTCCGTTCCACGCGGGACGAGAAACCACCCAAGCAAGTTCATGAGCCCAGGGACAAAGCGCAGAACAAGCTGGATCTGATGTCTCACTTGCTGGAAAGCAGCCGACCCAGACGTCAGATGCATTGACGCTGCGAACGGCGAAACCCGCCTGGCGCCGTCGCGTTCGTGTTCTCCTGTAAGGCCTCAAGCAGAAGGAGCAGCGGGACATCGACACCTCGAACACACAAATCAACGGCTTGCAGGAAGAAGTGGGTCTGCGCCTTCGTAGTGGGAAGTCCATGGCTGTCCGTCCCGTCTAGGAGTTTAAGAGTCTGGAAGCCTGACTCTGGGCTTTCTGAGGCGATGCGCATGCTCTGTTGAACAAGCTCGACGCACGTGTAGAGATGGTGCAGAAGTGGCTGTGACAGCATTGTGGAGATTCCACGAGGAGTTTTTAGTAACGCTGAAGATGGAGGGTGCTGCATGCCCGTTGCAAACTTGAGGTACTTCACGGGGCTAAGTCGCGGGCTCCAGGACATATGACCAGTGGGTGGACAAGATCTTTCAGTCTGTGTCGTTCCGTCTCTGCAGAGATTGCAGTACAGTGGTTTGCTAAGTAGCTAGGTTGCATCGCATCGCATTGCCTGTCGCTATGCTGCCATGCATCAACTATGCTACTTAATACATGACATACATTACATATGTGCATGCGTGCACGCACAGATAGATAGACGAAGGGATAGATGATTGATAGAAGGCTATAGGGGACGGCTCTTGAGCTCACAGTACACCGCCAAGCCATCGTGCCACAGACTTGGAGTCGTGAAAATGTCAGCAACAATTCCATCGGTCGGCATCTGTGAAGAGGACACCCACTCTGTTCTGACCGGTGACAGCAGTGTCTTGCCTGCATAGCACCAGGCGTGGAAGAGATCACGGCTGTGCCACTCAGGTGCGCTGCCACAGAAGAACGTGAAGCAGCTTCCCACGCTGCCCACCAACACACCGCGGAACGCTCTGCCACTCGGCCAGTTGGGATCAACACAAGGCCTACTGTGTGAGGAATCATATGCCGAGACGAGGATGTCGCCCTCACCGCGAAAGCCCAGCCGCAACACGCCTCGAGACTGCACGTCACAGGCTGTGGAAGTGTCTACTGCGGTGAGATGTGCATGCAGGTATGCGGGTATGCTGGTAAGGTAACTCCCGTTCATGCTTCCATGCAGGGCTCGTTTGAAGATGAGATAACGGGTTTGGGCGTGTTTGGGCCAACATACGCCAAAACGCCGGGAAAGGCACATTTGGGTCCAATACCATACAAAAAGACTGTACTGCATGACTGTACTGGTTTTCGTTGACCAGCCTGCCTGCACGTCAGACGCAAATGTTACGCACAAGATGCAACAACCATTGGGAGCGCAAGCCGCTAGATAATGCAAGCATTCTCGTCTCAATGACTGAAAGCAGGCGCAATGGCAAGGCACATTTTTGTAGTTGATTGTACATAAGATGCAAATACGCACACGCGCGCACACACACACACAGACACGGTCTCTTTATCCCAAAACGATTAGATAGATACACAAATCCTGACATACATACAAAAATATGTGTATACGTATGTACATGCGTTCGAAAGTATGATTTGTGTCTGCGCATGTGTAGACATTGGCATCCGGCCGGGATGCCGACACTCCGAGGCTCTTCGGACGTGGGACGCTTTCTGGGCTGCCAGGTGAGCAGACCCAGTGAGCCGCCGCAAGGCCCCGACGGTGCACGGTGAGCGGGGCGGTGCGCATACTAGAATTAGAATTCTGAAGTAGGTGCGGCTGTAGATGTCGTTCGAAACACGGTCGAGTCACTGCGGTTTTGGCTCAGAGGATGTGTGTTCACGGCTTCAGCAAACACTGAAGGATTCAGGCTGTGGGCTCTTGGGTTTAAGCTTCGAAAGATGTTTTTATGGCCCTTGACGTGCGCCGGCCTGCTCTGAAAGATCCAGACAGTTTTCCCAGCTTCTGTAGGAAGCAACCTGCTTTTCAACTCCCTGATGGCATGACGAGCAAGTCATGCTGCCATCTGTGCTAGGCTGCTAGGCTTGTGCATACCTTGTAGCTGGGCAGCCTGTCAAAACCCTATAGTCGATTGCAGACCCAAGTCCAGTCCCAGCTGCCCGGACGTGGACTCCGACGGACCGTGAGTTTCCGAGTTTCGGCGAGGCAAGGCCTGTGGCCAAGGGCCCTGCAGGGTCGATGGCTTCTCGAAAGCCACGCCTGGATTCTGCTCTTCTAGTGCGCCTCTGCAGAGGGACTCAGAGGAATTCCCAACTTTGGCAAGAGAGCTTTAGCACGAGAGAGTAGCACTTTCCCTGCGAGTTCTTTTCGAGGGCGGTCACTGTCAGGAGAGGACGCGGGACAAGCCCGGTCGGCCAGTAGATTTTGGCGTGGCTCGCGCGGCTCGGCTGCCGCTGGCCAGACCTTGCAGTTTGCGTGGCATCTCTGGCTGGTCTCTGAATCCACAGAGCGGGATGCAAATATGCCTTTCGCGAACAGTGTAACAGAGTGGCGCCCTTTACTCCCTACGCTCCAATCTCGCAGCACCAAGCCGTCCCGACAGAACACTCTCTTTGTGGCTGCTTAGTGAAGCGAAGCTTCAAAGAGTTCCGAGCAGAGCTCTGTGTTCGCCATGAGGAGTGCACTGGTTTGTTAGGTCAGGGCCATTGGCTTCCCGCCTCTGTTCTCTGTTTTGCGTTGGCCCGACACCTCTCGAATGAGAGAGTGACTGACGCGACAATGGTCGCCGAAGATACTTAGAAATGATGCTTCAGGATTTTCTTGGGCCAAAATAAACACACCGGTCTATGAGGGCCTCAGCCGGTCTGGCAGGTGCACCCGAAATTGAGTCTCTCCCACCCGCCCCTGCCGCACAGTTGAAATGGATTTCCGGTTTCGGCCTGCTGCTGTAGTCCGTAGACAAAGAAACTCAACGAAGAATCGTGGAGCATCAGAGCGTGTTGCGACTGTTGGCCATGTCGGTCGACATCCTAGGGTGGAGGTCAGCTTTCATGCAAGAGGTTGAGAAGAGTAATTACTTCACTGGTGTTGTCTCCTTCGGCTGTGTCTTCTTCCCTGCTTGTCCCTTTGAAAGGCACATGCAATGCACCTTGAAAGAGCGAGCAGCTTCTGTTCAATCCGAATGATCTCGACCGACTCGTGCTTGCACCCGATATTGCTACACAACAAGGTCGAGCGAGAGCTCGTGGGCACTTAAGAGTGCGGCAAGCGACAAGCGAAGCATCGGAGTCTTTGCCGTTGGGGTCTTGGGATCCAATAGGTTGGAACTTAGGCTTACCACTATTGCTTGTCTTATGCCCGCAACGCAGCTTAGTGTTCTGAATTGCAGAAAATCTGCAGCCAGAAAGTGACCCTGCAGAGTGCATTGGCGCCGGACCATGACCTACATCTGTACATGCCCCTCATGTCTTGGCGTAGACTTGCTTGAGCAATTATTTGCGTCGGAGATCTCAATCCAGCTTCTACTTCAGTGCCTGGCAGAGCTGCACATCTCCAGTGCAAAGACTTCAGGGCAAGCATGACAGATCATGACAGTGCTCGAACCTCAACTTACAACCCACGCCAACAGATGTACACGAAGTCTCTACGTTGACATAGATTAGGGCTTAGGGGCGGAGCATTCCCAAGGGTCTGGTGCGACCGCCTGGGGAGCAAGGCCAAACGCCGCGGCACCCGCGTCGAACCGTGACAAAAGAGCAGATGCGCAAGCGTCTGAAGCATACTCAACGCATGCATCAGCATGCATCCCTCAACGCTGCGAGCAACCCACTTGCATCATGCTATGTGAAGACCTGTGTTTCGTAACCCGTAATGTGAATCTTGTTTGAAGCAAGTTTGCGGAAGCCAAACATGCCATTCCAAAGCTGCTCGTGGGCGTTCTTCGTAGACGGTGCTGCAGTGCTGAGGCGTTGCTTAGACGTGTGCTTCCAGAAGTTTTGCGACACTGCCGACCTCGTGGCAGCGGAGCCTGGGGCGAAATCGCATGGTCTTGATCTACTTGTTTTTGGGTTTCATCACGGAAGTTCCTGAGAGGAGAAGCAAGCTTGGGAAGTCCGGCTCTGAGACGGCAGCTCGAGAGAGCGTCGGAAACTCCAAAGCTCATCAGCAGATTGAGCCATTGGCCATTGAGCATCAAACGATCTCTGACACTTCTCCTCCTGGGAAAAGCCATGGATGCCTACTGTACATGTTTCCGATGCATGTCAGGTTCAACAGCTCCGCTTGGCGCAGCGCCAGGCCAGCACCGGAAAACATGGGCACCAGTCGGCCTGCGGGCCTTAGGGCTTTTCTGGTTAAAAGCGCTCATGGAGTATTGTTACCAGCCACCATGTGCTCCTGGTAGCAGCGCCCGGACTGTCGTAGGGCAGATCCTACTCGGAGTCGATACTCGCCTGTAGCATTGAAATTCCTGCCGAGAGGAAGTATGGTATCACTGGAATTAGTGGAAAAGGAATCGGCCCTTCTTCAAATCGTGTAAGACTTAACTCTGGTTGACAAGCTTGTGCCACTTGTCTCTACGCGTTGGCTACGTGTTGGCTTGCGCAGTGCTTTCAAAGCTTTTCGGCAGTTGGCAGTCTTTGCAGGCCTTCCAGGAGCAGCTTGCAAGCTGCCCCCGCAGACACTGTGGTTTACGTTTCTACACTGGTACTGCTATCACATCCTTAGTAGATCTATAATCATGTTTTGTCATGGGAGCCCAGGGAGCTCGCAACACCGGGTGGTCCAGGAAGAGTCGAAAAGGTTTGGAGCTAGGTCATGACATGACGACAAAAAAAAGGCACGATTGTGCTGGCAGAGGCATTTGACACTGTTTCAAAGCGCACACACACACACAAACACACACGTACATATTTCGATAGACAGTTAGGTAGGTAGATCGATAGACAGATAGGTAGAGGCAGGAACAACGGCCCTTTGTCCAGTCATACCTGATGCGTCGCATGCTGTGCATGTTGTAATTACGTTGGATTGGCTGCTGAGCAGTCAGCAAACCTACACCTATATAACCAAACTGGGAGCTGTTTGTCTGTAGTATTGTCATCCGAGTGTTACTACTCTAGAGGTGGCGGTTTTCCCTTCCGTCGCCGATGGTGCTGCTGCTATACCGATGCCCCCTATCGCTGTGGTATCGCCTTCCCTATGGCGCACTCGCGGATTGCATTCACACCCGTCGCCCGTCGCCTCCTCCCCTGTGGCTTGGGTGGTGAGATCCGCTCTCGTGCGAGCAATGTCTGCAACCTGCCCCCACAAACAAAGGCAATCATGCAAATAGCCATGTTTGAAATGCAATTCGCCCTGAACGTCGACAACCTGCGAGAGTCAGGTTATCCAGCGATTATTAGCAGTTTTACACGCCGTGACGATCACATCCTCCGAAAACAAGGACAGCCACGATACCAGTGGGAGAGGGTGGAAGGGTGGGGGCGGTGCAGGGGGTAGCTCGCGAGCTGGGGTCGATAAATACAAACATCAATGTCAATATAAATATAGATATAAATAAATAAATATGTAAATATATATATATATATGAGTGTGTATATATAGATACATAGACAGATATACACATGTGTATATGCATATACATATACATATGTACACACCTACATACAGACATACATACATACATACACACGTACATACATGCATACATACGTCTACCTACCTACCCGTATATCTATCTATATGTATATACAAATACAGATAGATGGACACATATGTGCACGGTTCCGTTTTCGACTGGCAAATTCGTTGAAAAGGCGACCTGTCCACAAACAGGAAACCTCAAGTGCCGGACATGCGCCGACATACTCACGTAATCACGTAAGAACAATCTTAGGCCCCTCGATGTATGGGCAGCTACTGCCCATCGGTTGGCATAGAATAGAACAGCCATCGACTTTCCCAAAATTGTTGTCAGTGTTGTCTCCGAGAACCTTGACTACGGACTGAGCTTCAAATGTCAGGCCATGGCCACCACCGCCGCGGGCGGCTTGGGTAACTCTTTGGGTCAGGGCTTGTTTCCGGCTGTAACAACTTCATTCATTCGCGATTCGCGGCACTTCAAGAGCTGCTTCGAACATGTGCAAGTCGCCAGCGAATGCGATTTCGTCGCATCCGCCAGAAGCTCCCAACAAGGCCCCTACCGCAGATTTTCTCGTCTGCGCTTTTCGCAGGTGTTCTGTACCTTGTTCCATCTTGTGCCTTGCCAGCTGGGTTCGTTTGAGGTTCTCGGCACGCTGGCAACCACGCTTACCATCGGGCTAGGCAGAGCGAGCATTCAAGCATTATGCCAATATGGGCTAGGCTTTCAAGGTGTTCAAGACCTGGACCTGGTTCTGTCCGAAGTTCTTACTCCCGCGGGTCAGCTGGTCAGACGCTGTGTGACACAGTCTTTCACCCGGCTCTTGCGACAAGCATGGACACCAGCGCTGAAGTTTGGTGTCAGCACGCAGGTTGCTACTTGTTTCGTGGCGGAGACGATTGAGAGGGCATGCGCGACACGAGACCTCTTCGTGCCGGGCTCTGCCCAGGAATTGCCCATGCGATGGCACATTCCGTGCGGGTATTACAGCTCAGTTGTTATGAGAAGCGGGAAAAAGTCATGTGCTGCGTCTGACACCTTTCCTGTGCTGCTTGAACTCCATCTCTGGCAAACCTAACCGGATCTCGTGGCAGGTTAACTACGGAGGACGTGTCACTGATGACAAGGAGCCCCCTGTTCTGAACCGCAGAACACGCCGAATGTCCGCTTGTGGAGTCAAGGTTTCTAATCTGCTCCTGGAAGCGCATGCATGCGGAACAGCCAACCAGCCAGCCCCCAAAGCAGCAGTGGTAACCTTGTGTGCCCTCCAGACGAAGGCAGCTGGACAGCTCGGACACACTGCCAAACAGCAACTCGTCACAGGACGTTCGCCTCATCAGCGCCTTCCTGAAGCGCTACTTCAACGAGGGGGCACCCTTACACTCATGGAAAGATGGCTTCTGGAAGCAGATCGTGCATGTTGTTGGTTTGGATTCTGGATGTGCGCAAACAGGCTGCGATTCTGGTGTCCTTGCTTTCTTCGAAGAGGTACTTTATTCGTGCGTCAGGTACTTCAGGATGGCTACAAGCTAAGCCCGCTCGATGCCTACACTTGCTCCTTGGCTGCCAAGCAGGAAAAGCTGAGTCTCCGGCCGTAGAAACTCGGACCGATGACATTCGCTTCACCCCGTGCCGGGCTGCCGGGCTGCCGTGCTGCCGTCGTTGTGCGCCACTCCGAGGCCCCAAGGAGGGATCTTTGGACGAGGCTGGGTCTGACTCCGAGTCACGTCGATGTGCGCCAGCCCCCGCCCCCCGTCCTTTTTTTAGCAGGTTCGAGAGCATGTCCGCAGCCTGCCTTTCGACGAGGATCCGCAGGCTTGCCCACGTTTGGCTTCAGACTTTTTGCCTCTGGATGATCGAGCACATGACAGGTCTTTGGACTGCATCCAAATGCGCAGATCACGGCGCAGACAGAGGAGCTGCAATCGTGAAATTAGCAAGCAGGGGTGGGCTTAGAGTCTTTTTGGGTTGCACATCGTAGGCCAAATCTGGGCAGTCATCTTCTCTGAGATGCGGTTGAGACGGAAGTGGGGAGTGCGGCCAGCCTCTGCCCAAATCTCCACAGAAGTTGCAAGCTTGCAAGATCGTCCCAACTTCTCCTCGCGACCGCAGAGCTACGCGAAGCTGCAGAGAGAGAATCCCATCTCTGCATCGGAAGCCTTGGAGGAAGCGCGGAAGTTCCTTGGCATCATCCTCTCTGTTCAGCCCCGCATCGCGGCTGCGGGTGGCGGAAAGCGCCCTGAGGCCTCGTGGCCGAAAGTTGCTTATGAGAAGCTACTTGTACTTGAGTCGTTGCTTGCTCGAAAGCCTCAGAGAGTTACATACACAGATACATATACTGCAAAGGCCCTATTTGTTCAAAGCAATATCAGGCCCAATGGTAGTCCCGTCTGCATGCAACATACATACGTGCATTTTTCCTTCCGTTGCTCACAGGCTCCAGAGCTGTCGTCTCATCATGTCGAGACCAGTCCAAGCCAGTCTCCGTCGTGACAAAATTGTTTGAAATACGTCTGACTCCATATGCATTTTGTTTAAGAAAAGTTAGTTGTCTTCCACTATTGAACTTTGAGTCCCCCCAGTGGGTGTTGGCATCAAGTGCGTATGCAAAACAAGCCCAGCCAAGTCATTTCAAACGAGAATTGAGAATTCGGGACGCTCTTGTCGAACAGAAACCCCTGTCGGAAAGGCTCGGAAACTCAAGCAGCGGGGGTGGGGGAGTTACTATAGCTGTTTTAGCATATTTACATTTACATGTATGTATGTACGTGTATGCGTATGCTTGTAGATGTATGTCTATAAAAAAGTATGTATTATATATATATATATATATATACGCAGTGTAGTATTGCCAAGGCCTTCGCTAGTAAATGAGGATATGGTGTGCGACGGGGTAAACTCACACATGAGAGAGCTTTGGGTGAGCCTGTTTGCGACGGACTTGCACACACATTTCACGCCTTCACAATTTGCAGTGCTCCAGGGTTTTCACATCCTAGTAGTCTTTTTTCGCGGGATGCTTTGCCTTCCGCTAGTAGTATCCGTTGAGAGTCCGGGATGGTCATAGAATGTTGAGATCTTGCTGTGGCTGCACCCTCTTGTCTGTCCATGCACCTGCGCCAACTGGAGAAGCTACGTGAGTAAAGTGAGATCGTCAACCTACCCTGTTTTGGAACGACCGTAGAGAGAGCCTTCTGCCGGGTGATGCCGAGAGGAGCTCGTGGCGGAGATGGCCGAGGCATGGGGGTAAAACCACAATGGGCCACTCGGGCCCAGGGCCCTTGAAAGGTCTTCAGGGTGTTCCTGGCCTTCAGGTTTCTCTCACGTACGTGTTCGGGGTTGCAAGACCATCAGGTAGCTTTCAGAAGGAAGAACTGCGCCGGGGTTCTTCGCAACGCTACCTCGGGCTTGAACTCTTTCTACAGCCGCTGGCGTGGATGTTTCACTCGCAGAGATCGTTCGACCGACCCTTCGAGTCAGAGGCCTTGCCACACATGCGCAACCCCGCTGCAGCTCTCTCGATGGCAAGGCATTTCTTGGGCGAGTGCCATCAACCATGCTCCGGAAGCATGCACACCCGGAAACGTGCACAGCTCGGAGTGCTTTCACACTGGAAGGGAGGAGGGTGAGGTTTCGGGGGTCATGTCTTTGGTCGGAACGTACTGGTGTGTTCTCAACAGGCGAGTGAACCGGCACCCCACAAACTGATCGTCCCGAACAGTTCGGACAATGCTAAGGGCAAAAAGAGGGTGCGATTGCCTTGGCAAGGCTGTTCACAGCTTGAGACCACCGGATCCTTGAATTTGGCATTGCTGAATGGATGTGAGGGCTGCCTCCCTGTCCGGTGGAGGCAGGAAGCTTGTGGGGCTGAGGTACAAAAAGACAGCTGATGGTGGCATCGTGTCTTTGGGTGTCTTTCACGGGCAGGACATGTCGGCTTCGAGAAGCGATGTTGTTTCAGAAAGGGACGCTGTGGGGGCCAGTTTTCCCACTTTTGTTTGGCGATGGTTCAACGGGTACTGTATGTACCCTGAGGGCCCTTGAGTCCTCAGAGCGTACAGCTGTAGAAAGACAGCTCTTGCATGAGGATTCTGTCCCCGCAACTTCGACACGGGTTAGTACCATCAGGAGATGGACCGCTTCAATGTGCTGATCAATCGTGCTGCGGCCTTGGATTTGCGGGGGGGTTCGGATTTGGGGAGAGCAGGGGGGAGGACCTGATTGCCAGCGTCGTGCATACTCAGCTCTCACAGCCCTAGAACGTCTCAGGTGCAGAGCACTCTGGTGACTTTGGGCAAGGCCATCAAAGGCTTCGTGGTCATGTCTGCGCAGTTGGAGGACATATTGTCCTGGGGTGCAGACATGGGCAGCCAGCAACTGACTTGGCGACTTCAGCCAAAGTTGAGGAAGGTAGTGGCAGTAGAAGTAGAAGTTGCAGTAGTAGTGGTAGTAGTAGTAGTAGTCGTCGTCGTCGTCGTAGTCGTAGTCGTCGTCGTAGTAGTAGTAGTAGTAGTAAGCACTCCGGCTCAGCTGTGTCCCAGCAGCGGGACTCATACTTGTGGAGGTGGTAGCATCCATGCCACGGAGCAAACCTTGCGGTGGAGTCCGGCTCCGAAACGTGATGATCACATTCCCAGTGCAGCGAGCCGCGCTAGCGCTACTGTTGACGCTCGCCAGCTGGGTGCCTCTTGGCCCCAACAAAGGGCGCATGGGTCGACTGAATGCCTTTGCCCCTGGCCTGCCAACGCGTCAGTCTCTGTGCCCGCCTGCCGTACCAGCACGGACTCCTGTGCTGTGGGCACGGGGAGCTAGCCCCGTTGCAAGTGCGTGTCTACCAGCAGCCAGGAGTTGGCGCAACTTTTTCTGCAGCTGGCGCAAGCAAGACCTGGATGCCACTCGCTTTCTTCCTGGGCGCGCGCCGTCAGGCCGCCCCATTGAGTGCACGCTCGCCAGCTGGGTGCCTCTTGGCCCCAACAAAGGTCGACTGAATGCCTTTGCCCCTGGCCTGCCAACGCGTCAGTCTCTGTGCCCGCCTGCCGTACCAGCACGGACTCCTGTGACCGGAGAAAGGCTACCTCTGCCTTCGTGCCACTGTCTGTGGGCACGGGGAGCTAGCCCCGTTGCAAGTGCGTGTCTACCAGGTCTACCAGCAGCCAGGAGTTGGTGCAACTTTTCCTGCAGCTGGCGAAAGCATAACGTGGATGCCACCCGCATTCCTCCTGGGCGTGCGCCGTCAGGCCGCCCCATTGAGAGCACAGTGCCACACCTGCTTATGGATAGCCGGCCCGGTCCCAAGTCCGGGGTGGGATGCCGACTGACGACTCTACTTATATTGCTACATTGTCAGGTGTCCCACAGTGTGAGGGTTCCAGCTCTCTCCGTTGGAGCTGGGGAAGGCAACTTCCTTGCCTATCCGCGACGACTTCAAGTGCCGAAGCTAAACGGAGTACAGGTCACAGATGGGAAGCAGGAACCTACTCATCAGTGGAATCGATGTGTCAAGAGATCTTTTGTGCGAGCTTGCAATAGAGCTATTCGACATGGCCAAGCGCAACCTTTGTACCTGTGTACTTTTCGTTTCGATCAGAGACCCGAGGAGTGTGTAGCTGCAGATCGTCGCTGCCTTGTCCCGAATGCTGACCGAAAGCCGGCGGCGGCAACCTACCCCATCCTGGGATGGGATGGCCCGCACTGGGTCCCGGCCCCACGTATGCTTCGAGATGTGGTCTGGATTTTGGTTACGCCCTCCAGGTCGCAATTAGTATGTGCGAGAACGCTGTGTTCCGGCGATGCTGTGCGGCCAGACCTCCCTTAGGTACTGAACTATGTACAGGGTTCTCAGTGTGCCCTCCAAAGGCCACTTGCAGTTCACAGGACTACAGGGTGGTGAACGTGGTCCTCAGTGTGCCCTCTTGGGGCCACGTCACTTCGCAGGACTATGACTACAATTTTGTGCAGAGAAACATAATGATCAACGCAAGATGCCATAACAGATGGCTGTAGCGATGTCAATAGCTCTACGATTTTTTCACGTTTTACGTCTTCGCTTTCTATTTACCTGATTTTGCACTCTTTTGATCGAGTGAAGGGTGCACTGGTGCACCATTCTCTTGACAAGTTGAGTAGGTCGCAAGTTTGCAGCTATTCGTAGCGGGACTTGCCCATGTGGTTCGAGTGCTCTTGAAGCACCGGTGCGATGCACTGCCACGTACCTGACGCTAAGCTGAGCGACCGGCTGCGATTGGAATGGAAAATAGTAGTGGTAGTAGTAGTAGTAGTAGTAGTAGTCGTCGTCGTCGTCGTGGTAGTGGTAGTGTTAGTGGTAGTGGTAGTGGTAGTGGTAGTAGCAGAGTAGTAGCAGCAGCAGCAGGAGTAGGAGTGGGAGTAGGAGTCGGAGTCGGGGTCGGAGTAGGAGTCGGAGTCGGAGTGGGAGTGGGAGTGGGAGTGGCAGTGGGACTGGGAGTGGTAGTAGTAGTAGTAGTAGTAGTAGTAGTAGTAGTAGTAGTAGTAGTAGTAGTAGTGGTAGTGGTAGTGGTAGTGGTAATGGTAGTGGTAGTAGTAGTAGTAGTAGTAGGAGCAAGTGTTGTTGTTGTTGTTGTTGTTGTTACACCCGAGGGCGCAATCGGATGCAGCAAGAGTGTAGATTGATTGCACCTTGTGAATGCCGACTTTTTATATAATGTAGGGCCCTTGGGTTCCATAATTTTTGGTGGCAAAGGTCTATTGAAAATTTGCGCTGCATACTTCGATTGCTGTACCGCAACGGTTAGTGCCGAAAGAGGTGTAAATACATTGCTTGTGTAAAAACATTGCTTGTGGATGCAGAACCCCTTTATTTGGCAGATATTTTATGTGGGCGAATGCAATACTAGCAACAGTAGCATGTTTCCTGTCAGGATCTGTCAGGCTGCTGGGAGAAGCATGATAGTTGCACAGTGGCCGGGAACAGCTTGAAGCAAAGTGCTCACAGCGATGGCATACGCACTGTCGGCAGTTTCCACCATGCGCCTGTGACAATCTCTCGGCCAGGACATGTACAATTGTTTCTTGTCCCAGCAGCTGCCACCACTTTGGGGCGAGGCTATGTGCCGTCTGTGTCTGCAGAGTATGTGATGTTGCGGTAGTATATACTTTAAGTTGTTGCTTGTATATTTGCTTGTGCGCTTGTGGCATAGGACATCTATGTACTTGGCTGCCGTACCTGGCGGTTTTAAGTTCCCGAGCTTGAGATGTCATGCTCGGATCATGCTCCTGCTGCGAAGAGGCTTGGGAGGCATCAGCAGGAAACTCACAGAGCATAATTTCGACCGGTGCATGAAATTGTCCCCACACCCTGGTGCGAGTGGGCAAGTACAGTACAGCGTCCGCAACGTCTCGGCTTCTGCAGACCCACAATTGCATGCTCACAGCGTCTTTGAAAATTCCCGTGTTGGAGCAGGTCTCGTACCCCTGCCTGAAGCCTTTGAATGCCTGGTTCTCCGACTTCGAGGACAGCGTCCGCCCATGTCCGCCCCAAAAGGTGATCATCTCCAGCAGGGTCAGTGATTGTTCGAGACTCTCTCGTTCTTTCAAGATCACAGCCTAAGTCTTCAATGAACCTTGCATTTGCCTTGGCGGATTCAAACAACACGCCTGTCAGATTAAAGCTCCTCGGTACCGTGTGGCAGCTTCTCAGATACACATTCTGAAGCGCCTTGTGTCAGCACGAAAGCTTGCACGCACCTACCCAGGCAATGCCGGCTATCAGTACAGTGAGAAGAGCAGACAGACCCAATGGTTTTCCACTGCAGCATGTAATCCATTCTAGTTTTCGAGGCTCCATGTGCGCATCCTAACTACATACATCCCTAGCATGGCATTACACTTATGTCTCGCATTCTGATACGTGGCTGCTGCTTATTGCATATACTGTCCACGTGTTGAAAATGGCCTATTTCTTTGTAGTATCTGCAAGATGGGCAGTCTGAAGTACACGGACCCTGTAACGACTAGACGAGGCAACAAGAAGGAGCCAAGCAGCACACAAAAGATCCGATGATCCGGACGTGGTCCACTCCGAGTGCGAACACGATGCTCAGAATGTTCAGAATGTTTGGTGCAACATTGTGTGCTGCTGCCTGCGCACTACGTCTAAAAGGAGATGCTAGCCACATCTAGCTACATTCTGTTGATCATCAGTGTAACCTTTCAGCGACCACAGAGATCAGCTGCACGAGAGTGTTCAGATCAACTGTTACCCCATTCTTGCATTGGGCGACATCTGCGTTCGTGGGGCATCAGACGGTCTTCAACCACTGAATCGCAAGCGATTGAAATGGTTTTACAGATACAACTTGTTGTTGGCAAAGTTTACATCTTGTCATGAAGACTGCTTTTATGGTAGGTGTCAAGAAGGTGATAAAATCTCCCATCGAAGCTGGCACATGCCAGAACAAGCAACCAGAGGCAATGATTCGTGGAAAGCCCTGGCAGCAAGTCTGTCATCAATCGTTGCTTTATAAAGTGTGGCACATGTGGGGTCTGACGCACCGTGCACTGAACTTGCCGGGTTCGACACTGCAGCAAGAAGTCGCCCTTTCTGCAAGCCAGCAGGCAGACATTCTCAGCCATGCACGTGACAGGGTGCGCTCTGATATTGTCAGCTCTGCAGGAACGAATTGAATTTATGGCACGATGGCTGAAGATGGGACCTCCCTCAAGCTACTGGGCCGTGGCCTCGTGCACTGGCAAGAGTGCCAGCTGCAGTCTGTGTTGAGAGCATTGGTGCCATCGACATCTTGTTGGAGGTTCCGTGCTTCTACTTCCCGCAGGGCTTCATGACCTGCTCCAAGCAGGCACGCAGTGCTGACACGCAAGGAGAGTGTCCAATGCTTTGTTGTTGAGCTTGTGAGACTGCCCGTGCCCGCCCGCTGTGGCCTTGGCGTGCCAAGACGACCGTCGGACATTGCCAGTCCCCTTTTGTAGGTACACGCGCGAAAGACGAAGATTCCGATCGATGCATCGACCTCAGGGACGTGTGCCGTAGCGACCTGTCGCGACGAACACGGGCTAGGGTTTCATGCCGTGCTTGGTCTGTGGGCGACTGCCACTTCTTCGTTTGTGCCTTGTGCCTCGCGTATACGCTTTTGCAAACTGCTGAGTTTTCCGCAGTTTGGCCTTTTGGCCTTTGGCCTCAGCTTGAGTCTTGAGGCTCTGGTCTTCTGGCAGGAGATGACGACGTGCACGGAGCCCCGCCTGGCCGATCCACCGGCCCGGAGCCTAAGCGGAGCCCAAGCGGGGGCCAAGCGCTCCCGAAATCCCTTTGCCAGTTTGCAAAGAGTGATCATATTGCATCCTAAGAAGAAAGCTGTGCCCCTCGACACAGGTGCTTGGGCCACAATGTAGCTTTGCAACTTGCGTTGCGGTTTTGCAGGCCAGTCAAGATGCACGATGACAATGAAGTTGCTCCAGCAGCTTTTCGATTATCTGTTGATGTGTGTCTGGTTTAGGGCTGTCTCGAAATGTTCTTGCAATCGGAATGTATCAAGACGTCCCACAAAAAAGCACCCTGAAAGCCTGGAAACTGTCGGCCTGGGCTTCGCAGCGATGCGATCGGCGGGCGCGTGCCGAGGCAGATGGGGTGAACGTGCATGGACTCTTCCTGCAGGCGGAAGTTCCGCTCCTTGGGGCGTTTCTTCTGAACTCTTGGGAGCTTCTCCGATAGTGCTGCCACTGCCACCGTGCTCACGAGTTCTCGTGATCTTTAGGCGAAGGCTCTGCTGAGATCTTAGGGAAATCCTTGCCAGGGAGCCGGCTGGGACGTTCCATCAAAGAAGATGGTGGAGTCTGAGAAGGTGCAGCATCGTTAAGGGAAAGAGAGGGCTGAGGGCTGAGGGCAACTCCAAGGGTTGTTCGGCTTGACGGCAGCCCAGGGCCTAGCCGCCTAGCCTTACAGGGACACTTGGCGGCCTCGTCTTTAAGGAGATCCTGGAGGAGGATTTCTTTCCGATAGACTCCAGGTAGCCTCGTGCGCACTGGACTGATGTTTCGCGGGTCCAGGCGATGCTGCCCACAGCAACATCTGCCCATGGTGATGCTTTGGAGTTTGTCGCTGTTGCTGCTCCCACTCGTCTCAGGAAACTTTATACCGATTGGACGCTTTATGTTGACTGGGAAGATCTTCACGATGACAGCTTTCTCCCCTGAGAACTTTGTCCTCTAAGATCGCATCGCACAACGCAGACGTTGTTGTCGTTGCAGCGGGCAGCAGGGCCGCTGCGACGTGTAGAGGCGTCACAGCCGCCTCCGACCTCGTCTTTTCAGCTCCTCGAGGCTCCACAGGAGAACTTACGCAAACCACCGCCCGGTGAGCTCCACGCTGTCATTAGCCGCAAGCAAAAGCTGCGCTTGCTGGGCGCACGACGTCGTAGACCTGATAAGAAGTCAGGAAACAGCAACCCGCCCAGGCAGCTCAGTAGGAAAGTCCCGCAGTCTGTCTCGCAGGCGGTGCTCTTCAAGGAGCTCCCGGTGATCTGGGTGCAAGTGGTTGAGGAGGCCAAATCTCAGAGTGTAGGCAAAGGCCGGCACAAGCTGAATTCACCGTAGGCAAGAGCTAAGGGACATAATGCTCCCCGGTGAATTGCGGGTGCTACTGCCGGGAAGGACGAAGAGAGGACGGTTGCACGTACCCGCGTCCCTGCAGGCTACCTTCCAGAAGGTTTCCACAGAACCTGGCAGGCAGGTTCTCGGAGCATGTACGCACGCACGCACGCACGCACGCACGCACGCACGCACACACACACACACACACACACACACACACACACTTGACACATCGTGTCGCAGGTCTGAACAGTCAGTTCATCTTGCCGAAAGCTGTCAGGGGAAGTCAGAACATGCATTAGAAGGCAAACTCTCCCAGACATGCACATGAAACTGCACTGCACTCCTACTCGCAAACAACAGTTGTGGTCACAAGCTGCACAAATGTGCCCATGCCGACCACTGCAGGTACGTTTACCTGTCTCAATATCACGGAGCTTCATTGGCAGAGGCCGTGAAATGAGACCCTCTGCCCCCTGCTGCTTAACTCACTCACGTCTCTTGGAAACAGAGTTGGACACACACAAGCCCCGAGGGGCTCCGTGCAATGTTGGTGGTCGTTGCGCGCTGTTTTTCTCACCGATTTATCATCGAAACGTCTTGTCCTTGGGAGAACTAGGAGAGTGGGTTACGAAACTTCAGAAAACGCAGTCTGTACACTAGGTGCAATTCGACTTCGGCTTCCTCTGCATCAGAATCGAAGTACATGCAACACTGAGTTGCAGTTTGGTACGCAGCATTGGCCAATGACACGATACTCACTCGCAAACGCTCCTGTGCTAGGTCTACCACAGCACGCATCCACCTCTTGGAAGGGCTGCCCAACATGGTGCAGGCCACGGCATTGATTTGAACAAAACGGATGGTGGTATGCAAAGACTGAAAACCCATGGTCAACTCAACCGAGGAGGACAGCCGAAATTCTTGTATCCCACGTTGCAAGAACGTGTAGGCCACCAAGGTGTCGGTTAAGGGTTGCGCCTCTTCTGGGTCGTCATTTCGATCAAGGCGAGTAATGAATGTGATTCTGGCTCTGATCGGCAACAAGTACGTCAAGATGTTCTCGAGCACGCCAGAAGCGGCCCAATCCATGTTGTTCGGAATCTACAAAACTTCCAGACTGCTTGAAACAAAACTCTATTCCATGTCTGATGAAAGCAACTCCCAAAGGCGCAGCACTTGCACATCCCTGACATGTCTCTCCGCACATTTCCTGCACAGCACTTGCACATACCTCGACCGTCCCTTGCACATCACTTGCAATCCGCTTACTCTTCCCTTGCTAATCACTTCGGTTGACACAAAGCATTGGTGGACTCTTTTCAAACCGTCAACGCTCTCTCACTTTCGGTCTAAGACGTACTGCACAAGTTTCAAAGTAGAGGAAAAACGCTTCCTAGGGCCATGCTTTTCTTTAGCAATGCGCTCCCCGTGTTGTCTCAGGAAATCGAGAATGAACTGGGCTCTGTTGTGGATGAAGAAGTCGTCACCAAGCACTCTCGTGCCTTCCATTCTGCGACGAAATTGGGCTCTAGGTGCAGGACGAATCTTGATACGCGCACCATCAGAACCTTCATCAATCATACGAAGCTTGCGTTTCCGCGGCGGGACAATCTTCGACATGTTGGTGTGTTCTGCAGCGGAACAGTTCGACTTTGGAAACTGAACTGATCGACCAGGGGACATTGACGGAGACTGTCGGCCAAGGAACGATGACACATTTGAGCTCTCATGATCAAAGGCGAAATCAGCGGAATCCGGATCACTGACCGCGGTAACACCTGATACCAAAGCTGCACGTCGATCATGTTCTTGGTCCGACACTGCAAAGTCTGACGAGAAGTCGGACGAGTGCACGTCCGATACAGAGACAGCATCGCTCTCAAAGCTGGACACCGACATAATTTGAAGCTACCTGTACGTTACGAACCGCACTCATGTCACGAAACTGCAGAGTCTACGCATTGCAACATAGGTGAACCACACTCATGTCAGAGAGTCTACGCCCTACGCATTCCAACATAAATAGGCAAACCACACTCATGTCACCAGTCTGCAGAGACTACGCATTCCAACATCGGCGAACCGCACTCATGTCACGAAACTGCAGAGTCTACGCATTCCAACATCGGCAAACTGCACTCATGTGTCACGAAACTGCAGAGTCGACGCATTCCAACATAGGCGAACCGCACTGATGACACGAAACTGAAGTCTACGCATTCCAACATTGGCGAGCCGCACTCATGTCACGAAACTGCAGAGTCTGAGACGCTTGTAGAGCCAATATACAGCATCGTGCTGGGCTTTCTTATTGTTCAAAACCGAGGATGCAAAGTAATTGGGCATCCACCATCACTCTACAGAAAGTCCATGCACAGGAGACTGCAATCAATGACCTCGTCTGCCATTACAAAACGAGTATGCGCTCACACTTGCTGCACGGCAAACCTGCACCGCTGGACTCTCCGTTATGTCATTCAATCGGATAGGGCTGCATGGCAGGAATACTCTCAGCAATCATTTCCAGCAGCGTCTCAAAGCAGAAAGTCTACGAAACTGCAGAGTCTATGCGTTCCAACACAGGCGAACCACACTCATGTCAGAGAGTCTACGCATTCCAACATAAGCAAACCGCACTCATGTCGCAAATCTGCAGAGTCTACGCATTCCAACATCGGCGAACCGCACTCATGTCACGAAACTGCAGAATCTACGCATTCCAACATCGGCGAACTGCACTCATGTCACGAAACTGCAGAGTCTACGCATTCCAACATCGGCGAACCGCACTCATGTGTCACGAAACTGCAGAGTCTACGCATTCCAACATAGGCGAACTGCACCGATGACACGAAACTGAAGTCTACGCATTCCAACATAGGCGAGCCGCACTCCTGTCACGAAACTGCAGAGTCTACGCATTCCAACATATGCAAACCGCACTCATGTCGCGAAACTGCAGTCTACGAGTCGCACAAGCAAGCAAAAACATGTACTGAACCACTCCAGCTTGGTCCGACACTGCAAAGTCTGACGAAAAGTCGGACGAGTGCACGTCCGATACAGAGGCAGCATCGCTCTCAAAACTGGACACCGACATAATTTGAAGCTACCTGTACGTTACAAGTCTTTTTAGAACTGCAGAGTGCCTTGAGGACATGAATCAAAACAATGTCTGCAAATATTCACAACACATGCTGCCGGCAGATCACTTGCATCACCCTTGCACATCCCTTGCGCATCATTTGCACGTCCCTTGCACATCCCTTGCAATACACTTGCATTGAAGTACATGCAACACTGAGTTGCAGTTTGGTACGCGGGCGCAGAGCAGTAAACATGGGATACAATGCGACCCAATTGAAGTTGGCTGAGTACACTTGAATCAGCTTCCCTTCTTCATCACGCACTTCCAACCCACGAAGTTCAGGAATCACGAAGAAGTTTGAATCTTGTTCCCACTCTACTTCCACATGACCTCTGAGAAGAGCTCGATTCCCAAGATGCTCGTAAGATTCTTGCAGGGGTTTAACACGAAAGATGTATTTCTGGTCCGCACTGCAAAATCGGCAACTGAACGAAACGACAGACGGAAACCTGTACCATGTGGGTGTAGAGTGATGGCTGGTTGAACATCTTGTTGTGGAACAGGTCGATCACTTACAGCATGTGCGGATGCAGAGGCAGGAGCTACATCTGCTGTTCCCAATCCAACATTGCAAACAGAAGAGATCGGCAAAGATGACGAAGCTGGCACCTAACACACTGCAGGAGTGGGGGGTGGGGGAGGGAAAGCGGGAGGGGGAAGGGGAGGGGGGGGTGGAATCCACTTCGCAGTGGTGCCACGGGAGGGGGGCGGGGCAGCAGTGGGGAGAGGAGGGGGTGGCAAAGGAGGGAGGGGAGAGGAGGAGGGTGGAGGGAGAGGCGGGGGAGGAAAAGGGGGAAGAGATGTCCCAGTACTGCGCACTTTGTCTGAAGTATCCATGGCAGATTGATCAGCAACTACCAAACGCACAGCTAATGTACTCAACTTGCAGCCGAAGACCTGCGACAAGTCACCGGTAAAGTCAGCTCGGGGAATTCAACCAGATCATAACAAAGTCGATGTAAGAGTCAGCGTTCAGTTTCGGAAAAGGCATTTGGGAAAGGCTCACTGGAAGAATCAGCATGCAAGCATGGATATGAAGTCAATGAAAGTCATCCAATGCTTATGCAGTCAGTCGGGAAAGTCAGCGCCAGAGCTACCTCTGGGAGACACGGCGCCCATAGGGAATGCCGTTGTGAAGCACACTTGACACATCGTGTCGCAGGTCTGAACAGTCAGTTCATCTTGCCGAAAGCTGTCAGGGGAAGTCAGAACATGCATTAGAAGGCAAACTCTCCCAGACATGCACATGAAACTGCACTGCACTCCTACTCGCAAACAACAGTTGTGGTCACAAGCTGCACAAATGTGCCCATGCCGACCACTGCAGGTACGTTTACCTGTCTCAATATCACGGAGCTTCATTGGCAGAGGCCGTGAAATGAGACCCTCTGCCCCCTGCTGCTTAACTCACTCACGTCTCTTGGAAACAGAGTTGGACACACACACACACACACACACACATTCAGACACACACACACACACAACACACACACGCACGCCACGCACGCCCACGCACGCCCACGCACGCCCGCGCACACGCCCGCGCACGCCCGCGCACGCCCCCGCACGCCCACGCACGCCCACGCACGCCCACGCACGCCCACGAACGCCCACGCACGCCCACGCACGCCCACGCACGCGCACGCGCGCACGCACGCACCAACCAAAACACACACACACACACACAGACAGCCGCACCCGCGCGGCCTTCAAAAGCACGCATGGAAGGGGCTCTTTTGTGCAGCATGCCTGTTCCGTGAGGTCTCTTGCATTCTCTTCCAGTTTTGCCACAGCGGCCCACGTTCCACCAGCATCGTAGCATCGAGACGCGGGGCGCGTGCAGTGCCGCGGAAACCGTCCTTTGAAAGGCTGCAACCGTCCCGCTCGGCCAGGTACACCTGTCCCCTCTACAAGACCTCACTTCGCAAGGGAACTCTGGCGACTACAGGTCGGCCGCAGTCACCTATCTGCCTGTTTGAGATCATTCCCGCAGTGTCCTTGAAAAGAATCCATGGAGAGGGACAAGCTGTTCAGCTGCTTCGGGAGGTGCTGAGGTGGGTGTCCCATTGTTGGCAATACGTCACGTGTATCTGTTTACGGGTGTGCGTGCACATGCATGCATGTGTGTAAGTATGTGTACACATCTTGGCATGTGTCAGGCCTGTACACGAAGATATGTTGTATCTAGTCAGCAGCGCAGCCTCTAGGACTCGACAGAGCTCTCTGCTATCTTTTCTGCAGAGTTGCGCTCGATTTCAGGTCGAATTTCTCGGTCTTGTTTTGTGGCGGCGGCCTACCTCAGCGGAAGTCGCAGAACTTACATCCTAGAGAAAGAAGAGGACCGGCACCGACACAACCGCAACGGCGGAGAAGAGAGAAGAGGAAGGGAGCATCAGGAGTGTCAAACAAATGCAGACAGCGCAAGGAGGCCAGGGAGCCCCCCCCCTTCCCGCAGACAGCAGACAGCAGCTCGGTTTATGTCCATGCGATGGATCCCTCTTGCTTAACACGGATACTTCGATTTGGTGCCCTGTACATCCCGACAACCTCAGCTCCCCCTTGACGTGGCGCGCAGCCTGCAGGGAACACAAAACCAGTCGTGATCCTCCGTCCCGAAGACCTTGTGTACCGAGCAGGGCTCATGCTCTTTTGAGGGGATGGAACCGCCAATGTGGAATGCCGGCAAGAGACACAGAGACGAGAGACGTGACGAGGAGAGAAGGCGAAGTTCGCGAGCCTGACAGGTCACTCCACCAACTTCGTTTGCTATTTCCGGCTGCCAAGTAATGAGGAGGAGATTTGACAAAGTCCGTTCAGATCGAAGTCTCTGCAACCTGCTATCAGCTTACTGTAGCTGCTATCCTGCTCACAGGATCAGGGCCACTGGGTTCGCCGCGGTGTGGCTCTTCTTTGTGCCTCAACTCCAGTTACGACATTCGCTGTCGTTGGATCAGGGGACAAGGGATGCTCATGAACGAAAGGCTGCCATGTTTCCAGGCATCATGCCACCAACAGGTTCAGCAAAAAAGGCGTATGCTGCATCCTTTCACGTCGTGGAGCACGCAGATGTTCACAATGCTCAACTGGGAAATGCAAAAAGCGATCCATTGTAAGTATAGTATCTTGGGCCACCTCCTGCCTCACTCCATCCGCAACGCAGTAGGCCGGAGCAGTGCACGCCTGTCTGCTTGAGGTGCAACGTAGGGTTGCCAGCATTCTCAGCGATTTCGATGAGCTTCAATCGAAATTCTAGCTGCCATGTCCCCCTGCATTCCCTGAAACAGTTTCGGACTGCTCTCTGGCTTCGAGCCATGCGTCAGCAACAATACGGCCGTCCGCGACTCATACAGAGGTCACGATCGACAGGGCTACAAGCATGGGCTGGTGAAATAATCAAAGATGTACGGACAATGCTCCACAAGTCCTGGACAGCACAGCATTGAGAAGCATTTCAGAAACAGTGCCTCCGCGATACGAGGGTATGTCTTGACAAGGTGGTGGCTGAGCGGAACCTTGCCACGCCAAGCTTCTTGCCCGTAGATCCTGTTACAGATTGCTATTCGCCCCCATCATCACTCCTCTTCGCGGATCTTCGGAGCAGGTATCCGCTGTCGCTAGGACCTGGTGAATAACGGGCAGACGATCTAAGTGCAACTCGTGTTCGACTGTGACACGTTTCTGATGCATCGTTCACGTTGAAAGTTTCGCATGAGCCCCAGCAACGATGAATGCATCTCGCCCTTTGAAGAGACGTGCCGCAGCCAAGCAGCTTGAATACTGAAGCACGGTGCGCCTGACATCGTACAACTCGACAGTTGAAAAGAGCGTTCAAGAGGCATCCTACAGGTCGCAGTGATCGGAGATATTCCGTGCAGCTGACGGAGGAGACTGCACAGTTGGGAAGGGGGTGAGATAGACCGCAGCCGACGGAAGCCCAAGTTAGCTGCCCAGCGTTTCTTTTCAAAATGAGCCTGCCACCGTGTCAGCATGAGGCCAATATATATGTGCTTGTACCAACTGAGAACCACATCTGCATTTGTCCGATCTTGGGCATGTTTGCTCATGTCCAGTGACTTGTCCAAGGTATGCTGGATGATTGACCTCTGGACGCCCTTTTGAAGCTAACTTCTGACAGCCAAACAGTGCTGAATTCTCGGCACAGAACCAACGTGGACAGACGCATCGCATCGTCCAGCTTAAAGGGTTACATCAAGGTTGGATTGCTCAGATGCGCCGAGTTGCACGATCGTTGTACCCTGTTGGCACCTAGATTTGAGAACAGGCTTGTGAGGACATTACTCCAAGTACGCTAAGCCGCTAAGCGTTTGCAGCACGAAATGCTGCCCCATCAGCACGCCTGTGCGGCATGAGTTTCGGTAGATCGACATAGCTCCATGCGGTCGTAACATCGCATGGCAAAGACTGTTTCTCAGCTGGCATGTGCTCCTGTTGCTATTGGACCATGGCAGAGAAACGGTTCACACATTGCGAAACAAAATGTTTGGTCATCAGCTGGCTCCGCAGGAACAGTGGTGTGGGTCTGGGAGGCAACACGCCCCGAGATCCTCCAACTTGTTTATCGTCAAGATGATGCATGTCTCAATGGTTCGGCCATTCGTGGATGCTTGAACACGAAGGCTACTATTCGAGTATGTGTCACAACCACCGGTGCCGTTTAAAGAGTATGAGCTCTTCGCTAGACATGCAATCATGTCCAGAAAGCATTTGACTCTGGAGCATTCCTTGGTTGTGCAGTGTTCTTAAGAGGTTTTCTGTCTGAGCTTCTGGGAGGGCGGCATGCATGGCTCAATGCTGTGTCATTGGGGACGGGGAGTAGCACAGTAGAACAGAGGGAGTCTGATTTGATTGTGTTCCGTTCGTTTGACCCTTTTCCCGATTGGCATGCATCACTTGTTACACAGTCTGGATCCTGGCCACGGCTTCTGAAGGAAGGGCCTCGAAGAAAGTTTTTTTTATCTTTCGCCGAGCAGCAAACGACCTTGGAAGCCTCGGGCCGCAATCCTCCGTTGCCTCAAGGGCGCCGGCAGGTTTCACAGAGGAAACGCAAAATCCCGTGGCCTCTGCCTCTGCACCCACTGCAGAGCCCTGCGTTATGATAGGAAGAGGGATCCAAGGTCTAGGAGATCCACTGCAGATGAGTTAAAGAGTAAGTGCATGAGAGTGCTTGTGCGTTTTTGCTTATCCCATTTATCCCATGTTCCGAATCTGCAATTCAGACGTTCCCCTGATGTTGTAGCTGACATGAGGCTTTCGGAGTTCCCGCTCCTTTTGCCATGATGGATCGCAGGGAGAATACAGAATGAGTCTTGCGACAGCCCTCATGATTGCAACGAAGCCAGACTGGACCGGACCTCGACATGTCTATTGCGTATTGCGGAAACCTTGTACGTTGATGCCACACCGAAAGGACCAGATTTCCAAAGCTTTAGTGACCTCGTTTCACTCGATTAGAATGCTTGTGCGCCTTTCGACAGCGCTCGGGAGATGCACCTGCTGAGAGCCAAGCCGAACTCTCAGATTCGAGGGATGTCCGCCTTACAATCTGCAGATGCAGAGCAGTTTCAGTTTGAAGCTCCAGGAGCCAGAAACAACAGCATGAAGGTAAGCATAACGCTAGCAGGCAACACTTGATGACCATATTGGACAAAGCAGAAGCCTAAACAACAAGCATTCGCATAGAAGAAAGGGAAGCCAACGGCGCGGTCAACACCACAGCCTTCCCTACTCGCGCCTCTGTTTGATTATGGTTACTTTGGCCTGGGGTCTGGTGGCGTAATGGGTGAAATCATTGCAAATTATGTCATGTTCTGGCTTTTTGGCGAAGCACCTCAGTTGCAAACAAAGCCGCAGTGCCGAAGTTCCCAAATCTACTTCAACTACTGACGAGAAGTTGATGATGATGATGATGATGGTGATGAGTACGGCGATTGTGACGATAAGTCTCAGCGTGGTTATGAACATTGATGAGGGATAAGATGATGATGAGGAGGATGCAGCTGTTGAAGATCATGATGATGCTGGCTTTGTTTGTAGTGCTGCTGATGATAGCACGAGGTTTTGCATTCACGCGACAAGAACCGTATCCGATGTTGTCAGATCCAAGACTTTCGTACTCTCGCCTGATGAGCTGGGCTCGCACCACGCTGCCGCATATTTGGATTGTTCATGGTTGGAAATCTGCTCCGGCTACAGTCCCGTACTCATTTTGGCATTGGTTTCGATTGCAACACCTGCAGTGGACTCAGTCTCTGTGCCACTGGAGTTGTGCTTGAGGGCTTTGGAGTGTTCCAGTGCCAGCTTTCCCGATTTGGAGGCGAGCCTGAGGTTAGATACTGGCAGTGGTAGTGGTAGCAATTCTGATACCACTGCTACCACTACTTCTTCTACTACTTCTTCTCCTACTTCTCCTACTACCACTACCACTACCACTACCACTACCACTACTACTACTACTACTACTACTACTACTACTACTACTACTACTACTACTACTATTACTGCTACTACTACTACTACTACTGCTACTACTGCTACTAGGTGCCTAGTAACCACGCCCCTCCCTACCAACCACCTGGCACTTTAACCCATCATCATCATCATCATCAACGAACATCACGGTTGCAGAAGATGCAGTGGCTCAGGCCCCCTATTTGTCACAGATGCAAAACGCATTCTACACTTACGTGTAGTTATGAGTCGACCAAATGCGCAGCTTGACTGAAGCAGATTGCGAGGCAACTACACCGCAAGCTACTTTCCATTTACAGCATTGCACCATCATCAGTGAACAGCTCGCCATGCTGCGGGTTATGCAGCGCTGCTCTGTTATGCCCGGCCGGTACTGTCACATGTCCCGCTGCTGCTGCTACTACTACTACAACTACTACTACTACTGCTACTGCTACTACTGCTACTACTGCTACTACTACTACTACTACTGCTACTACTATTACAACAACTACTACTACTACTACTACTACTACTACTACTACTACTGCCGCTAGTGCTAGTGCTAGTGCTACTGCTACTGCTACTGCTACTGCTACTGCTACTGCTACTGCTACTACGACTCCTACTACTACTGATGCTGTTGCTCCTGCTTCTGCTACTGCTCCTACTGCTATTGCTATTGCTACAACAACTGACAGGTCACACGGCTCACCTACACGGATGCTGCACACAACTTGTGCCACCGTCTGCCTGAAACGAACCATGACAAACATCCGAGCTCAGTTGGGCAATCAGGACAAAATGAACCGGAAACTCACTGGGCCGCCTCACCTCGAAGCGCATCGGGCTGGGAACGGTCCCCGTGAGGCCCGGTCGGGTCTCCAAAAGCCCCAAACGAAGTCCTTGATGACATGGGCCACTTCACGAAGTCTCGCCCGGCCCGAGTCGGCCCGCACCAGTAAGCACGCAAGCACGCACCGCAGGCCGAGAGTCCAAGTTCGGTCACGTTCGGGGGTGAGAAGCAGACCGTGAGGAGCATACCGTTAAACACAGGCATCGCAGGAACAAAGCAAAAGCTGGACATGACGTGTAGAAATGCGCCAAGCGACTGCCCACACTCAAGCAATATCCATACAAGCCGGTGGCAACCCGGCAAACCCTCGGCGGTGGAAAACGGCGCTCCCACTCCCCATCCTAGCTAAAGAGTTCAGCAACATATCAGCGGACATCGCGGTGCGAGCTCACAACACGAATGCCACCACGAGCAGCAGCATGTCCACTGTTAGATCCAAAGTCGTGGAAGACTCGAAAGCACGAAGGCTGCGGAGAGGCGACCAAACTCCCAACCACCATTCCAACTGCATCTCACAAAGACCCGGCAACCCAAAAGTTGCTCAGCCACATCTCACTGGCTGAAACTTGTGAAAAAGTTAGAGAGTCCAGGGAGGTGAACCTAGCCCAAATCCAAACATGCCGGCTGACACCGAAGCCGTGCAGCCGTAGCCGCAACCTGGCAGACGTCCAAGCCATGCAACCGTAGTCGAAGATCACCGTGAAGAAGAAGCCGAAGAAGAGCCCTGCAGCCATGCACAGCCAAAGCCACCTGTGAGAAATCATGGGCCTTGTACTCTGGATTGCGCCCAGGGTCTGGCTCCACGGTCTGTCCTGCGAGGGCGTAAACCGCTGGACCGCCAACAAGCTTCCATCTTCTTTAAACATTCTGCAAATTCATATTTCGTTCGCCCTTTCTTGCGGAGAGAGGTCCTCACCCTACTTCACATGCCGGAGTGGGACCTCTGGCGGCGCTGGTTTCTGGGCCTCCTCCGTGGCGAGAGGCGACCGAGAGCGAGCGTCCGGCTTTGCGCATGGACCCCAAGCTGAAGTTGGGCCGTGGCAAATCCTGCGAATTTGCGTTCAAGTTGGTCTCGCAAACAACATCTCCCGCACCTCGACAACGCCTCAGCCTTCGCGGGTCGGTAGAGCGGCCATGGCGCCAAGAACATTTCTCCCTGGGGCTCTGAGGGCCACCAACTTGTCGATCCCGAGTCCAAGGCTGGGATGACGGTGGCGGCGTCCAGGGATAAAGATGTCGGCTTGTGGCAGTCAAAGTAGTTGGATGCTTTCTTCGTCTTCAGGTTGCCTCTAAGTCGGAGAACATTGGAAGCACTAATTCAGGTTTTGTGCCAACGGCCGGTGCCTTTAGAAGCCTCCCGTGCTTCACGTAAATAGCCCGGTCGGCACACGAATCTGAAGTCTACAGCTGACCTTCGAATTTGTCGGCCCCTCAACCCCAGAGCGTGCCGGTCGTTGAGCGACTTACATCCCGTGCAGCAGGAAGTCACGAATTTCGCGCGGACTGCCATTCAGAAGGCTGGCGGCTGATCGGTGGTTCGACCATGCCTGAAATTCTGTGAAGCAGCTGGTATTCTGTCAATGCGAGTTCAACAAATTGCACAACTTTCTTACCTCCTCAGTCTGTGAGTTCACAGTAAAAGACCAGCCCAAGTTGGTCAAGTTCGGGACCGCGATCTCTGCCAAAATCATGTCGGCATCCATTGAACCCGCCTACAGTGGCATGTTCGATGCTGTCTGGCAGGAACGGACGCATTGGAAATTGATCTGTTCTGGGCCCTTGTCCTGATCGCCGATTGATGACGCCAAGTCTGGGCCTTGGCCTTCGTGGGCAAGCAGATCAAAACGCCCCAGAGTAGTTCTTGAGATCTACTCGCAGCATCGACCACCCTGCCCGCAGATAAGGGTCAAATCCTGCTTGCAAGGTCAAAATTTGAAGAAGCTTCCGCCAGGCAGGACTTCCTGTTCAGGTTGACGGCCAAGATGGTCTGGGAGGAGCGTATTCCCTCGGGCCGCCTGCAAGTGCATATTTCGTAGGACTAGTTGCCAGTCCAGATTTCCTCAGCAAAGAAATTAATGCGCATGCACAGCAAGGATGGGTTCGGGGGCCGAATTCTGCCACTGCGTTTTGCGCAGTTCAGGTCCGCTTTTCCTCGACGACATCGCTATCAATTCTTGCGCTTAGGGGCGTTGCTGTAATTAAAACCCTAAGAAACACCAGCCCCTTTCCTTTAACAAATCTATAAAATCCAATCCAAAAAAACCAAAACCAAAAAAAACAAAACAAAAAAAAATAAAAAACATCAAAAACAACATTATTTCAGTGCTCTTCCAGAATAACATTAGAAATACACACGAATGGAAGAGTTCTGAAATAATGTTTTTCTTTGTTGTTTTTTGTGTTTTTTTGGTTTTGTGTTTTTTGTTTTTTTTGGTTTTTGTTTTTTTGGTTTTCTTGTAGCATCCTTAAGGGAGGGGGGTCCAAGGGGGGTATATAGCCTAGTGATCCCTAATTCTCCCTAGTACTCCCTAAGGTTCCCTTACAGTCCCCTAAGGATTCCTTATACCCTCCCCCCTTGAACCACCCTCCCTTAAGGATCCTATAATTTTCACTCATGCCGTATACAGTTCATTATTCGCGGCGTTCTGTATTCAAGCCTAGTTCTATTTTCCGGTGATTCGTATATGTACAGCAGTCGCGACTCATGGCGAGTTTCCGTGCGGAAGAAGGTGGTCAGGATGGGAGTCTTACTTTTGATGAGGCTTGTGCGTCAAATGGAATCTTCAAGCGTTAAGGTGGAACAGTTTGCGGATGCAAGTATGTACCATCCCCTAGACATCACCCAGGATATCTTCGATAACATCAACAAGTTCTATTGCGAGAACAAATTCGCGCAGCTTCCGGAGCCGTTCGACTTGAAAACACAACCCAAGGTGCCCTACACCATGCAACTTGTGATTCAGTCCACGCCACCCCCTCCCGAAGGTGATCCTAATGGTTCATACGTGCACATCTTCAAGCACATCTACTTGCACCGTAACAAGTTGGCGGCGTCCGAGTGCGTGAACATGTGTCGTGGGAATCCTCTTCGTTTCGATTGGGGCTCCCATACCAGGCTCGCCTTATCGGGACTTAATTACATGTTAGACCAAATGGGAGGTAAACAGCTTGGCTTTTGGCTCCTGAAGCCCAAGTTTGAAAAGAAGATCACCATCGATCAGCAAGCACATGACGATGGATACAGATTCATCCGTGACTTCGGCCCCAAAAGCAACAACAAGAACCAATTCATGGAATGGACCGACGAGTACATTAACACACCGGGTAGCAAAATCGAAGGGTGGACGGAGGGAAAGGTCAAGGAGGCACTCCACAATTACATGCGAGGACGCCAGAATGCAAAAACGCTTGAATATTGGCCGTTCACATTGAAATCCTTCACCCCATGGTTCTTCGACCGCATCCTCACCCGCATGCTACCAACCTTGCGCCAGCACTCCATCACCTGGATTGGGCGTACACGGACCGGCAAATCGTTGGGATCCAAAACAGTCTTGTTTGCACAGTCTAAGTTTGAAATCGATTTGGCGGAGCGAGCAGACTTGGTTCCATCCATTCTCACGGCGAAGCATCTCGATTTCTTTAAGGCGGAGCCTCTCACCAAATTCAAACCAGGGGTGTTTGATGACGGCATGTTGCAAAAGATGGACACATCGTTTTTGAAAGCCTTCCTCAACCCGTCCGTGCCTCAACATACTTAGTCAGCATTTTGTGTTTAACAAGTTTCGTCCGAAATCAGATAAGTATTCTTTCCAAAGACATGCGATCAGAATAGCAAACACATGTAGTTAGGAAGAAGATGCCACCGTTTGGGCACGATACTCATCAGCTCATTTTGAACAAGGTGCCGGACGCCACGCATGCAACAATCCCTATGACCGCAAAGTTGACGAAGACATGTTCGCGAAAATGAAGACCACGAAGCTTTGGGAAATTTCTTACAGCGACTTTGTCAAGTTGATCATGCCTTCATTCACAGCAGTGGACGACGAAGAAGACTTGGACGCGATTCTGGCCCGCACGCACCTCATTGTCCTTACAAACAATGGTATTTATTATCGTGTAGCATCTACGGGGAAAGGGTCAGTAGACTTCATTGCGTGGGACACTGAGCCGAAGGACTTGCTTGCTCCCTCCCAGCATGCAATCTTCAAATCGTACAAAATGAATCCACAAGGACATCAGCTTCCCCCCTCCTTCCATGAGGATTCCGCATGGTCGCAGGAAGCTCTCCGACGTCTAGTAAATGGCGAACAACTTCCACGAGGCTATATCGTATACCGACCCAGGAGCATGCTCGGCGATGCTACGCACCTATGCCGTAATTATAGTATAACGAGAATACGAACCTTGCTTATTGGGGATTATTTCGCAACATACGCGTATGTAGTTCTGCTTATTGAGGGGTTATTCAAAATACATTCCTATGTATCGTCTTGTATGTAGTCCTGCTTATTGGGGGGTTATTGACCGTATAAACTCGTATGTAGTTCTGCTTATTGGGGGATTATTCAAAATACATTCCTATGTATCGTCTTGTATGTAGCCCTGCTTATTGGGGGGTTACTGACCATATAAATACTCAGTCATGTATATCGTATCTAGTTCTGCTTATTGGAGGATTATTCAAGATACATTCATGTGTATTGTTGCCTTTTTCATCTGTTTCTCATAAGGCCGGCAAGCGTCCATCATCCAGAGCTTCTTTCGCCAGATACAATGCGCATGAACGTCAAGAGGGAACAGGTCGACCATGCTTTTCGGAATTTGAAGTCATCGCGGGACCGTCGAAATGTCATCATCGACTTGGACTCCCCTTCGCCTAAGAAAAGCACGGACGAGACGCCGGTTTCATCACATGAACAGGTAAAGCGTCCGCGCATTTCCGCACCATCTGCGCGCTCCGCAGGATCGTCAGCCTCCATGTGTCCCGGTCTCGACCACGCCATTCCGAATCCGGAATTCATCAGAGTCTTGATATATTGCAATCTTTTAACGTTATGTTGAATATACGTTTGTTGCTTTTGCAGAATATGTGGAGTAACAAAAGGACCTGAGTATGCAGATTGCGATTCCGATGATGACGTGCTTCCCGCCGTGGGTACCAATCCTGAGCACATGTCGGACAATCATGACGGTGATGATCTTGAAAGGGACTTGGCAAAGATCATGGATGAGGAAACCAACCACATGGACACGGATTAGAACTATGTCGCCGGCACGTTTGCTTTGAAAGCAGCTGCTAGTATTTTGAGTGTCGGTAGTTTTGTCTCGCCAACCGTGATCCGACACAGTGCACCGGCAGCATCGCTGAACATCAAGATTATGATAGCACTTACAAGCAGAGACATGTAATGTATAAGAAAACAGCAGTATTCACCCATACACGTGCCATCGTGGAAGCACATGCTGCTCGCAGTACTAAGACCGCGCCCGCTGAAGAACACAATCCGATGCACCATTACTGAACATTGCTTGCAACCGTAGCAATCACGGATGCTCATGACGTTGGTATTGTTTCGTCTTGATGCACCTGTAGGCTTCGTATCAAAAGCTGTCCGAAATCATTTCTCACCACTTATGTGGATTGGATAGCCTTTCGTGAGGCTATCCTAACCGCAAATTTTGTGAACCGAGTCGCTTTCCTCGACATCGTGAAGCATAGCCATGTAGCGAATGCCGCATTGTTACCGAATAACGAGGCCACTCGAGCTCTACTCGCTTGTCAGGCCTTGCGTCTTGTTCCTCGAGATCGCCGGTGTCCACAATGCAATGCTTCATTTCGGCTGTACTACAAGATGCGATTGTACCGATGGTGTGGTCCTCGATACGATGAAGCATGTCACGAGTGTGATGGCAAACCATATTCAGCCACAGCTATTGGATTTTTGCGACATATGAAACCTGAGCTTTGGATGCATAAGCTCGACTGTTTCATTATGTGGATCCACGAGTACCCGCGTCAACTCATGCTTCGCGAGCTACATCCACTCGGCCATAAACGCATAGATCCTTGGTTGATGGAGTTCCAGGAGACTATCAGCAACTGGTTTGAGAATCAGCTCAGTTTCGGTTTGGATGGTCCTATCTTTCAAGGATTGGGAAAGACGTCAACAAGCAATTCAGCCTCTACCAGATCTAATTCGAAAATGAAGCGTCCCTCATCCAGTTCGGTGATATACAAGAAGCCCAGCGTGATCAAAACCATTTCGAAAACAAAGGCTAAAGGCAGGATCCTCATCGCCGATGAGACTCACCTCAACAAAAAAAACCTAGTATACTCGCCAAATATGGACGCCCTCAGCGCGATAATATATGGCTTTGGGGTGCTGTACTACAAGGGCATGTGAACACGCATTTCATCTTTCGCATTCTCGAACATCCCGCGGATGCTTATGACGGAAAACCACGAGGGCACAAGGAGATGATCAAAAATTTGGGCATGCTCAACCTCAAGAAGAACGATATCGTCGTGAGTGACAAGTGGCAGGCAACAGTCTCTGCAATGAAATCGTTTAGGCGTGAGCACAGTTTGTCTTCATCAGACGTGAAACACGAAATCGTAAACCATAGCAAAGGTGAGCTAAAGAACAGCAGCGGTTTCACCACAAATCCCATCGAATCCAGGTGGTCTCTCATCAAAAGATGGATCAGGGCCCGAAATGCCGGACGACTGCCCACACACTCGGACCGTACCAAGTGGCGTGTGCTTGTGAACGAGTACCAGGCAAGAAATATTTTAAAGGCCAAGGCTCCGCAGTCTTTTGAGTATGGGCATATCACAACTGTACAGTCTTCAGAAATTCTGAAAGTTTTCTGTTGTGCTTAAATGCCGTGCTAGCATCTGCGAGCCACATACCGCGTGAGAAACAATTGCCACCGCCAAAATATCTCGATGCCGTATGGTATTATGTCGTAGTTATCGTTGTTCGCATGCACATGACAATGAAACTTGCTTATATGACGCTGCTGTCTCAGATCGAAGAATCGCAATTTTTTTCATTGGATTCCTTAGAACCCACATACACATGAGCACACACACACACACCCGCACATACACACACACACACAATTTTCAGCTGCGAACGGACTGCGATGCCTAGTCCAGTTCTATGGTGTCACGATAAGAGCTGTGAGCATGGCCATGTAAAGGTCAAGAGTGAAGGCACGCTACGCGTCCTTCATCTGTCGGTGTAGGCTTGTGGAAGTGCTACGCACGCCGCAATGCCGAACCATCTTGTCATTTTTCCGCCAACGCAACTTTGGCTCAAGTACATGCTCTAGAAAGCATTGCACGTAGCTAAGCTAGCTATCGTCTTCTGTGACCTTTTCCGAGGAACAGAGCCATCCCGCGCACAGACGATCCATCGCTGGCCGCGAAGGTGCAAAACAAGCGAGCTCTGGATCTGCCTGCACTGGGAGTGAAGCTTACGTGTGGAAGTGATAGAGACAGTGATTGAGTCTGTAGAGGGCAACCACATCCGTATACAACATAGCTCTGTGGGGTGAGCGACAAGGAACATCATCAAGATCAAATCCCCACGCATCAGCATATTCCTAAAATATGCAAAACGCAGCGATCGACTTCGACCCCGTAACCCAAGGATGAACGTAGGGGCCTCAAGAAGGGACTCCGACGTGCCGGGATCTGTGCGAGTTTTCTGTCACACAAAGCTCAAAGGCGGGGGCGGTGTGTTGGACCAGCCCGGCCTGCAATCTGATTGCAAAAGGTGGGTGTCAAGGTCCCTGCCCTGCGTGAAGCCTGCGGCTCGGGCTCGGGTTAGCAGTCTGCTGGCAAGGGGGTTTCAGTCGATTGCGAAGGGTCGAACCGAGGCGGAATTCAAAGACTCAAGAGTGCTCTCATGACGCAGCCATCGCTTTCCAAGCGGGTCCCTGTCGGCGGCTAGACTTAAAAAACCCTTCGGTGTGCGTTCCGACAGGAACAGCACGCTCAGCTGTAACGCAGGAGGAAGTTCAGGTAGTAGTTTGGGTCACGTGGGTCAGTCCCTGTCAATCACACTATAAAGTTGTCCGGGACCGTCTGCAAGACAAACTTCGTCCCTCGGGACCACGTAGAGTACGCTGCTGGCAGATGGAGTGAGCAGGCTGTTCGAGAGCCCCGGTGTCCCCGCCGAACAGGAGCGCTTGACTTGCTCGAACAGCGTACCGAGGAGTTGAAGATGGTGCACGTGCGCCTCCGGGATTGGAATGATCTCTTGGAGCTTCCGGAGCCGGCGGCTGCCGCGACAGATGTTGCGAAAGGTCAGGAATAATTCGTTGTACACGTGCTTTATGCCTGAGCTGACCAGACCACGCTGGATCTGCAGGTCCAGCACGACGGGCTTCGTACAGCAGGTGTCGCAAGTAATAACCCCTTTGCTGATGACGACGCAACGCCGGCTTTTGGCTGGATGTCAAGGCTCGGCAGCTCACCGGGTCGTGAAAAAGCCGAGGTTTCGTGTGGCAGCGGGCAAGCGCGTTCTCAACGAGGATGGAATGCCGCCGCAGTCATCCGCTTCTTGCGACAGCCGAGAGCTCACGCATGATTTGCCGTTGTCCGAGCATCTCACAAGGCTTTTCGAAAACGTGACAACCGATGCATCTCAAGCTGGAGCAGCACACCTCGGGTCAACTTGGGTCGGGTCCGAAGATGGAAGTCTACGTAGATTTCACAGCACCTTTTATGTGAATTCTGAGGGCCACCCCTATATTTGCACTTACACGTGCAAGTTGCTGACAATTCCCTCAAGCGAGGCGACACGATGCAGGCTGCGATGACTTGTGCGCTCCTAACAGATAGTTCAATTGTCCCTCATGCCCATTTACATACAGGAATCCAGTGTTTCACCGCAGGTCAAATGTAGGCTCAAGCAAAGCCCGACAGCGGAGCACAGAGTGAGAAAAGATTCCAAGCTCGCGCCGTTGTTGTAAGAAGGACACTGGTTTAAGGGTTTAAACTTTCATGGTAGCGGAGCTGTTGGCAAAGGCCAGCAGCTGATCAAGCAAAGATCCAGGGAAGCCAGCTACGAGCTGGAAAAGGTGAAAAGTGTGGAACAGGAAGTTACGGTTTACCAAGAGCATCCTGTCGGAGAACAGCGAGGAGTTACGGCTAAGCCAAGAGCACCTTGCAAAGTCGGAGAAAAGCATGAAAGTGAAAGACCTTGAGCCAGATACACAAGGACCTGCCAAAGTGTTGGAAAGATGCAAGAGCAACAGCAAGCTCAACAGCCACAGCAACAGCCGAACCCTCAGCAGGTGAGGTTGGAACAGCTGATGACTACCTTAGGTCAAGCTACAGAAGCTATGGCAAGAGTTGCGCAAGGAACAGCAATGCAACAAGCAAAATTGGCAACAGCAATGGATGCACTGGCGAAAGCCCAAGCATCACCGAAGGCAGCCCCCACAGGCGGCCAGCCAGCCTCAGTAAGCTTTGATACTGGAGGCAAGATCCTCATGCCACCGGAAGCATTCAATCCTGCGACGATTGAAGAAGAAGTGTCACAATGGAGTGACTGGTCATTTACGTTCAAGAACTTCTTAGCGTTCATGGACCAAGAATTCCTGAAAGACTTGAAAGCGGCAGAAGAACAAAACGCCGTGATAACAATGGAGGTGACAACAGTGATCAAACGAGAGTGAACAGAGGAACGAAGCTTTACTCAGTGTTAAGCAGTTACTTGAAGAATAGACCTCTTAAAGTGCTTAGAAGCGTGAGCGGGATGAATGGATTTGAAGTGTGGAGAAAGTTGACGGCTGAATTAGAGCCGACATCTCGTTCAAGGAGTCTAGCAATGGCACAAGCATTGGTTGGATTCCCAGCCATGAGCAAAGGAGCATCGCTGATGGACTACGTCCTGACATATGAGAAGCTCACAGCAGAGTACGAAAACCTCTCAGACCAGAAGTATGATGACAACTTGAAGATCGGTACACTGCTGAAAGGAATTCCACAGCACCTCAAGCAGCATGTGATGGTTGATATCACTGATAAAACCACATATGAAGAGTTAAGAGCAAAGCTGCTACAATATGAAAGAAGCAATCAGACATGGTCAGCTGAGAACATCTTAGGATCATTGAGTGTTCCAGACCCAACGTCACACTCAAGCAACAAGGCTTACCAAGGACCAATTCCAATGGAACTCGACAGATTGCACATGAGAAAAGGTAAAGGAGATGGAAAAGGAAAAGGTGACAAAGGAGGA